TATCTGAGAAAGTCCGCCTGCCCCTCTCCACACACTTCTCCCGCCTTCCCCGCCAGCGCTGAGGAGAAGGAGGGAAAACAACAACAACAACAACAAGACGAAGAAGACCCGCTGCGTCCCGCTGAGGAAACCCACTCCTTTTGCAAAGGACTCCCGAGCCGCGCAGCCCCTCTTTTTTCAAGCCTTCCTTGGTGTCTCTTCCTGACAAAAGCAGAGCCGGGAAAAAAAAAGAGGCAGCAGCGCAGACCGGCGAAGGGGAGCGAGCGAGCCGGAGTGAGGGGGGTGGGTGGTGGTGGTGGTGGGTGAGGGCGGCTGGGCTTCCGAGCTATCAAAAGACTTCTTTCTCCGTCTCCCCATCGCCGCCGCCCCCCCACCTTCTCCCCAAAGACAGAGAGACACCCACGCGCACTCCGGGGGCTCTCGCCTTGTTCCCCAAACTCCCCGCCATGACCTCCGTCCTGGGAAGCAGCCGAGCGTCGGGGGGCCCGAGTAGCCAACTGAAATGCAAGTCCAAGAGGAGGAGGAGGAGGCGATCCAAGAGGAAAGGTAAGCCCGAGGGGATTCATCGCCTCCCGCCTTTCCCCGCCAAGGTGCCCCCCTTCCCGCTTTCCTTCTCCGTCTCTCCTCTGCTTTCCCTTTTGCCGCCTTTTTTTTTGACAGCCCCCCCCTCCCCGCTTTGCCTTTTCGGCTCCTTGGTTCGGGCTGGTGGCCATTTCCACAAAGAGGAGTTGGTTAAGAAAGGGGGGTGGTGTTGTGTGGGGGTATTTTTGTTTGTTTTCGACACCGAAAGAGCGCTTGGACGTTTCTCACAGAGCCTCCCTCAGTAGCGCGTCCCTTCGTGGTTTCCCCTCTCAGCCACGTTTGGTTTTTGCCCCTTCATAAATCCCCCCCCGGTTACGTTCAAGCAGGCTGGTTAAAAAATAAAGAAAAAGATGCCTATGTAAGTTGGATTTATAAAGCCCAAAAGATGGGGAATGAAGCCTACTAGCCATCTTCCCGCCTCTCTCCCTCCCGTGTTTTGGAGACCCAGAATAGGTAGCGCCTGTCCAGGCATTTATAGGGCAGGTGCTCCCCTTGACCCCTTTTCCAAGGGAAAAAATTGCCACATGAATTCCTCACAGGTGTAATTGGGATGTGTGTGTGTGTGGGGGGGAATCACTGGAGTGGCCACAGGGCCCCCCAAGGAATCTGGATCCCTTGCTGCTTTTTCATCGCTGCCATGAGAACCAAAAATCACAATCCTGAACACCGCTTGTCTCCGTCGTAATGGATGGTGATGGGTTAGAAGCGCCTCGTTCCATTAGAAGCCCCCATAAAAATAACATAATATGACGGCATGTGTTGAGGGATGTCCTGTTTGACGAACGGGATGTCCCAGTCTTTGGGTTTTGTAGGCAAGAAGCACTATATGCAGTTGCTGCTTGGGGGGGGTTGAGTGTGTGTATGGGGCGGGTTGGGGGGGAGGAGGAATCATCTTTGATTTAGAAGAGCAAAACGAAAAAAAAACCGTTTGGTGACAGGTGGTTTGGGGGCAAGCTCTCATTTTTATGCTTCGTGAATAATTTCCCCCTCTTTTCTTCTTCTTTTTTTTTTCTTTGTCTTTTCTTTCATCCTCTCTCGCTCTTTGCCAAGCCTGGTTGTGTTTCAAAGTTAGGGCGCGCGCGTGTGAAGAAGGCTGCTCTTTAAGTTCTCTGAGGAGACCAGAATTCTATAAATGGTAAACGAGTAATTATCCTAATCCCGAAAAAGAAAGGAGTGCAGCTTCCGAATGTCATCCGAAAGCTGAAAGTTTGCCTGAGATTAAAGGTTTTCCCCAAAGCTGGCGTTTCCTCATAAAGGAGAGCTGAGATGTATCCAGTGGATTACTTAATGCTGTGTCTCCACAGCTCTACAGTTAAAAGATATTGTGGAATAGTTGAAAGTCAAATAAGTATGACAAGCACAAAGTAAGCCAGAACCTCACTCAGTGAAGTGTTATGCTACGAAAATGCTCAACCCAAAGTCTCTTATCAGAGCAGTAAATCCCACCTAGTCTATAGTTGTCATCTGGTACAGAGGCCTTAGATAAGTTCCTGTCAGCTCACTCTGTCACCTCAAGACTGATCTTTTTCCTTTTTTTGAAGGTGAAATAGAAATATTTTTCCACCTCTTGGAATTAAGCAGCCAGACTTTCAGATGCCTAAAAATATTGGTTGCACAAATTAGGGCTTTTCATCCCTTGACTATATCAAATCCATACTGAGTGTGGATTTGATACCTGTAGTGCCTGCATAAGTTTTACAAGAGGCATCCAAGACAGACGTTAGTTAGATGAACTAAGGTGTCTTTTAACAGGGTTACTTTGAAATGTAGGCAGGATACACTGCCATGAAGAAGAACTCCCTTGTTCAGGTGTGACGTTTCTTGTCAGTGATCCAGGAATAAAATAAACTTGCAAAAGAAGAGTACGATGTATGTTTTTTTCTTTTACTCAGTTGCTTCCAACTCCTTTATTAAAAGCTTCTGGAAGATACTGAAGTTTTAGAAATAGTATTTAAGGGATCCAGTCTGAGAAAAACATGCCACAGTTAAAAATGTGAAATAACACTATTTCACCTGACGTTTAGCTGCTAAAACTCTCAAATTATGTATTAGTAAATTAGCACTTTTATCTAAAAGTCCATATTCTGCTGATAATGCTATGATGTATAGTAGCGATACCTGCATTCTAGGAATCTAGAATTGTAAATTTGGCTTTAGAAATAAATCATTAGGTTATTTCACTTAAGATACCTATATTATAACTGGCTTTTCAGCCAAATTCCACTGTCACTCTAATTTCTGAGCCAAAAAGTTTGGTACATGTGTATTGAAAATTTGTTTTCTTCACTTTCTTTTGCATTTTTTGGTCTCTCTTACTGTTAACAGCAAAAATACACATTCTTGAAATTTTTGTTAAGGGTTAGCTATTTTGAGGACAGATACACTTTAATTAGGGTATTATGAGACTGACATTTCAAAATTTTTGTTAAGCTACTTTGAGGACAGATACACTTTAATTATTAGGGTATTATGAGACTGACATTTCAAAAAGAAATTCTGAATGTTGTATTTCACTGTGCCATTATGTGTTTAGTATTTTGCCTCTTGGTTTGACAGACACTTCTCTTGTTGAAGACCATACAGATTATTTATAAAATGATACATAATATTTGTCCCAGTAAAGAATATTTTCTTTTAAAAACACCTGTTATGAAACCTGTTGAATCTTATAGTTTTGACTATAGTAGGCATCAGTTCCCAAAATTCTGTATTGCCACCAGTTTCAGGCAAGATTAATAAATGGTTTATTTTGTGTATACTGTATAAATGACAAGTAATGCAACATAACTCTGTCATCTGCTCAAATGAAAGAATTTCTAACATATCAGTATGGGATCCAAAAGTTTAAATGCTGTTCTGTCAGATAATGTTTTCTGATCATATCAGAAGGTGTTCTTAAAATATATTTAATGTTTCTTCAGAGTGTATTTTATTACCTTCAGCAGCACAACTGCACTTTTGAAGTACACAATGTAATAGCCAGTACTAGCAGGCATACGTTTGTGTTAACTTCATTGCACAGTCCATAAAATACGAGGTGACTCCCTTGATAAATGTATGTTTGGCTCTTAATAGTGTAAAAAAGTGAAATAAAAATGTCTATATAACCCACTGTCCAGTTGATGAATGTGCATGAGTTATATATGGAAAAATAGAACATTATGCCTGACTTACCTATGTGATGAATTGATTATTGAATTGGCTGCTTGCAAAAGGTGTAATTTTCTTTTAACCATACATATGGAGGCAAAATTGTTGATAACTATTTGAAAATTCTGAGTTTTGATACATCCTGCCCTGACCTTCTAGGATTCCTACATCTTGTTTAGTGTTAAAAGTTAAGCTTGAAATATGTACCCCCGGAGTAGTTGCTTCTTCTTAGAAGCTCTTTGTTATTGCTGATTTGCTTATGAAGAATTAAACCTTGGTGATGGTGATGTTACATTATAGATGGAGTAGGTTTCCTTTTTTTAAAGCGGAATGTTTTTAGAATTTACAGGCCCCGCTACTGCACTCTCTTAACTTCTGTGTCTAGTTAAGAAACAAGTTTACTGCCAGAGTTTTAACAGTCCAGAGTAATAATGCTTTGTATTTGGGGCATGGCCAAGTCCAAGTTAAACAATTAAGTCCCATTGTTTTCCAGAAGTGTGGAGTATGCATGCAACTTTTCTTCTGCTATCATCTATTTTTTTTAAAAAAATCTTTTACTCTGCAAATGTATCTATTCTTGTTTCTTTTAACAGTAACTGGAAGAATAACTTTCAGTGTTGCAGAATATGTTGACACTGGAATATTAGCAAATGCCCTTTCCCACTGTGTATTTAAAGGTTTTTCCACTTCCCCCTCAGTTCTCAATTGGTGATTTTAAAGCAAATTCTAATAATTTTAGTAGAATTCTCGGTGAGTAATGTGATTTGGAAAAGGATGTTTCTGCCAGACAAAAAGCCCTCACACTGTTTAGATCCATTGGTAAATGATTAGTAAATACGCACTGGCTGGATACGTGAACCCAGGTAAATATTATCATTTGTCAGAATCTGTCTAAAATTTTAAAAAGTCAAACTGCTGCGTATAGTTTATATAATTGTCATTCTTCTTGCAGTATTTTGTTTTCAATGTCCATTTGTGGCATGAAATGAGACTGGGAAATGAGCTTAGTCAAAGACTTATTGTTTAGCATGTCATAGCATGTTTGGTTTAAGTTTGACTTTATTTTCATCATAAATTGTGGGTTAAAATGTAATGGAGTCGGAGAAGCATAATGAGAAATTATGATGTACATACTGTGCAAAAGTGGGTGTGAACAGTATAAAGGTTTTTAATGATGCGGGGAAACCATTCAAAAATGGCAAAGGTGTAAGTATGCAATTACGCTGAAACTTTCAGAAGACTAGTTACTAGTAAATATTTCCACCACTTTCCTCCTTAAAATGCAGTTTGTGGGTTGTAATTTTTCCTTGTTTCCTTGTTTGCTTGTTCACGAACAGCGATAAGCTGACTCATTGTTTGTGTGACAAGGTTAGACTAATTATAGGCATTTGCAGAAAGAGAAGTAAATAAGGTTAAATGCTCAAGATGGAAGAGTAGACAAGTTTCTTGATAGTGGAGTGAAAAGAACAAAATATGCATAGCAAGTTGTGCACATATGTGTGTCTGTGTGAGAAATGAGATTATGTCGCTATGCCATTTCTGCGAAAATTAATGAAATTGCAAGACAGTGTTAAGAACGAAGCTCCTGAGCCCATGTGGATTACAATGCATGTTTTCACCATAACAGAGCAATAAATGATGTCCTCTATCTTAATCTGGATTCATGGGCAGACATTCTTCCCCACAATAGGCCGGTGTCATGGTTCAGGATTTGCATTTCTCATCTTACCCCCTACAAACCTGAGAGTAAAGATGGGATTTAGAGATAAAATTAAATTGATTAAAACTTAATATCTATCCTTTCATTTTGAGCTTTTATTCTTTGTTTCCTCCCTCATCCCTCCACTTCCTTCTTTACAATTACCTCTGATTTCTAGTGATCCGTGGTAATGATAGCAATTTGAAATTGCATCAAGGGCATTAGCTGCAATGGGTGAACATAAATTTAGAATAGGAGAAATTATTGAATTCACACTTCTATATCTACACAGTGCCAGAGCATTATATGAATAGCAGAACCTCCTATCTCTAATACCGCCCCCCCTCAAAAAAAACACCTCTAAATGGAAAAGGCTGGGTGAGGTAGAAGAAAGCAATAAAAAAACAAAGCTCTCTGATATTAACAGAAAGATTTTTAAGGCTCCAGATTAAAATGCAATGAATTAATCACTGATTTGATTACTTGTCAGTGTCTAGTTGGAAAACTAGACACTGACAAGTAATGGTTTAAAAAAAGAATTAAAAGTTGATCTTGTTTCTTAATAGGTTTTGTTTTTGTTCCTCTATTCGCTGTAATACTCCAAGGATTCAAATGCAAGAAATGATTATGCCCCATTTTCACACATATCATTCTTCTTGGATCAGCAGAAATTATCCCTCCCCAAGTCCTGGCCAGTCATGCACAGTTTGCTTGTTAATTGAGATGAATTGAGTATTTAAAAGGCTTGGCGATGGGAGTGCCTGAGCTGATAATGACACATGTGAGATGCTGCATTTTTAAAAATGAAAGGTCATCTAAAAATACTTACCAAACGATTTTAAAAAAACATATAAAATGGAAAATTTGTATAAGGTAACTTACCTCTGTTCCTTCTTTACATTTCTGCAAAAAAAATTTTGAGAAAGAAACAAAAGTTATTTAATGTACTACAGCAAGAAACACAACCATTGTTTTCCTGAGTACTTATTAAATTGTATGTGCGATTCACAAGGATTTTTCTATTAATAATAGAATTAATGAAATAGCAATACCTGCAGAATTTAGACGATGTGTTCTTTTTAAACATCCCCTTCTACCTTATAAGATTCTACCCACTTCCCTCCCAAAATGCAAACGTCTGTCTATTTGTTCTTCTAAAATCAGCATGATTACACCCTTATAGAATAAGAAGTACTGTATCATATTTGCAAGAAAGTAAATCCAAGGTGCAGTAACACTTTAACCAGCTTAAAACACCTTTCTTGGGAATTATCCAAGCAACACGAGCAGCAGTGAGGTTTAATTTTTTCCAGATTTATAATCAACTATTGCTACAGTATTTTCAGGCCATTCACGGGTTTGGTGTGTGTATAAATGTATAAACGGTTAGTTATTTGGGTGAAAAATAGACACTTGAAGATCTATCATTCTGTAAGGGCCCGGGCTGATAATTTGCATGTAAAGGCACTGGTTCATGTAAAAGTTGCATTATTTCTGATAAGACAAATAAAGGACTCGTAGTCCTCTGGTATCTGTTCTTTTCCTGCCTGTTTGTTTAAAATACTGACAGCCTACCAGATCTTGCAAAAAGGTAGTTGCCATGATGAATAACAGTGGCTCACAATCATTTCGGTTATTTTTTGTGAATAACGCGTTTAGTATGAATGTGTTAAATTGTTTGACAGCATTGTTTGATTTTTTAAAAAAGAATGCCAGTAATAGCTATTCGGTGCTGAAGAGTTTGTGTTATTTCTTTTTCTTGTACAATATGTAAGAGTACCAATAATTCAGCGCCAAAATGTAATTGTTTGGTATGAAGAACAGAAACTTAACTATTGGCTTAATGCATGCTATAGCAACTTTGCTGCCTTAATAAAAAGCAGCACAAACTAAACTGTTAAATTGTAGGAAGACATGAATTAAATGTAATGTGGAAGAATGGGGAGAGATTAGCTAATGCAAGGGGAGGTGGGAATGCCTTCAGCTAGAACATGGTGCTTTTTGTAATTTTTAAATTTTGTAATTTTTGATGATGAGTCAAATTATTACAAATTGTCCTAGTGCTTCTCTGCTTCTGCAAAACCTGAAACTGTAAAACTGAAGCCGTTCTAGCCCAATGACGAATAGTGGTAGAGCAGGTGAAATGGGAGTGTGAATTCTCCTTGTTGAAAGCAGAAGAACAAAGAGATAGGCACCGATGCTGCAAAACAATGGCCGTACTCCAAAGCTTCATGAAGTCTGATGTACGCAAATAATTCCCAGGAAGGAGGAGCAGCCCCATTTAGTGCTGGTGTGAATTCCACAGCAGTGGAAAGAATTAGGTGCAGCCATCTTTGCATTCACTGGAAACTACCTGGAGATGCCAGAAGCATAGTGTTGGGATGAAGAAGCATGATATAGCAAAAGTAAATGCCTACCTATTAACCACTGAATTTTAATTCAAGCTTTGATGTACAATAGCTAAACTCCAGTTACATTGCTGCCTGTGCGTAATCCAAAATTACGCTCATGGTAGCTACAGTCATGCCCAGGTGGCCGTACTATCCACAAAGCAATTCTGCTGGTACACTGTACAGTGGGTCAAATGGGAGCTGTGGAACCAGTTGTGCAACTTGCACACTTTTTTTCTTTTTGAGGCACGTTTATGACAATGTACCTTTAACATTATGCCTTGATGAACTGGATTCTGGCCTTAGTCTCTAGAAAATACTGTGTAGAAATTGCAGAAGGGTACAAACACAAGAAAACGTCTTGCGCAGATGAACAAGCAAGTGCATGACGATTAAGTAGGAAGGGGTGTATTGGTAGTCTCTGCTTGCAGAAGTTGATAATAGTCTTAATAATGCATCTGGCCTAGGACATTGTGTCGGCATAAGTTGGCACACTGTGCTGGGGTGCAGCACTGAGACTGTTGCACAAAGCTAGGGTGAGTCGTTGGTTTGACAGAGAGCTTGGATCGGTCCCTCTGTGGCATCCCAAAAGATCTGTGATTAGCATCTTGAAAACCTGAGAGAGAATGCAGTGCGTGGTTTTCTAGTGATATTTCAGGTAAGGAACTATAGTTGAGAGAGACTTAACATTGCAGTTGGGTTGTACATGACATCTTTTCCTGGTTCGCTGCCACATTTCTGGAGGATTGGACTACTATTTGTACTTGCAATGTCTCTTGCCTTGTAAAAGGAGCATACATAAGACACTTCCTAAGTATGAACAGATTATCATAGATGTTCTCCATGGCATCTTTTGTGCATTGTCAAATGGGCTATGGCTTAGTCTGCAGGACAAAAAAAGCAGTAGTGTTCCAATAGCTAGGAAATACTTCAAACTTCTAAGAAAGTGACCACAGCTAGTATCCTCAAACAGTGCAATTTGTTTTGTGCATCCAGCTCAGTTTTGGAGGTTTTTCATGAAACTCAGAAGCTCCTTTTATTGCAAAGCAAACAATTTCTGAAACTTGAGAGAGGTCAAATGCAGTTTGTGATGTGGAATTGAGGATCTAGTGATAAAAGGGGAATAAAGGCAAATCTCACTGGAAGCGCATGGGCACTGGGAAGTATTTAAAGCAGTGATTTGTTTTCCATTCTGTACTTGCTTGCAGGTACTGTACTTTATTGTGAAATCTGGGTCACGCTTAACCTTCCACTGTTCTTCTCCAAACCCAATGATGTCTGATCCATTAGGACCAATGGAGTACTGCTCTCTCTCTCTCTCTTTCTTTCTTTTAACTATCTTGCCGAAGGCAAAGAGTCAGGCCCTTGCTTAAGTTCCTTTCTCCTCATCTCCCAGCCTCATTATACTTTGAAGGAGAGAAGGGAGAAGCCGTGGCAGTTGCTACGACATTTCTAAATTGGGTGACTGAATAGAATTTTTTGGCCTTCCTGTTTGTGCTCCTGCGTGTATACCCACCTTTCTCTGCTATATTTTTGCCACTACCATCACTAAGGGGAACCGTTTTCTACTACCCCCCATTGCCTTGATTCACGTCTTCCCATGCAACGCAAAATGACAAGCAGGATCAGGTGGCTTTGAGTGTGACCCACCCCCCATCACCTCTGGATTAGTTTTAGTCTGAAGCCTTCTACTGTATGTTGAGGAAGTTGTATTGCTGTGAAGACTTGGAAATGGCAGGACAACATGAAATGGCTCTGTCTCCTTTTGTGGGTATTTCTTTTCTGTAAGGAGAGCATCTGATCCATAACCTAGTAGTACTTATATTTGTTCATTTCTCCCATTTCAAATAGTCAAGGATCTATTCAAGAAATACTTCGATGTTTTGGAGGGAATAGAATGTTTGTGAGTGGTTTGTATGTATTGCAGACGGCAGGTATTTAATACTTGCCATCAGGAAGACGATGTTCTTATATTCAGAAGGGGAATGTTTGCGTCTCAGAATCTGAAGAAAAACATGAGGCTTCTACTGTTTAATTTACTTGAAGGTGCTGACATCAGGGCATATAGCTGAATGTGAAAGATTCTAGATTCCTCTGCCTAGACGTTGCAAAATATTGCTTTGGTATTTAAATTGTGGAGCTTTGCAGCCGCAGACTTGTGTCAGGTGTGAGACTAAAGAATACTCAGCCGTCTGAATCATTCTTTGGCTGAATGCGCTGTTGCAGTGAATAGCAGCCTCCCTGATAGAAGGAGGCAGACTGGCTGAGATTATTTAACTGGGCAAGACACTATTCACCGAGAGGTAGAATGACTGAATTGTGTCCCATGTCAACACAAAGCAGTTGTGCAGTTCTAAAGCTTGGCTAGCTTTTCTTCCTGAATACATACCTATCATGAGCTTCTCCAAACAGGTTGAACTATATTTGCTCAGCAGAGCATAAATAAAAAAAAAAAAATCAAGAATATCCTTTGTTTTGGACCTGTGTACAGGGAATAGTATATTGAAATCATCAGCCATGTGGATGTAATCCTTTGTGAATTTCTTGTACATGTCCCATCAGACTGAGCAGCAACTGAACAATATCATCACAAAAACTCAATCTCAAAGGTACACCAGAGTTTTCTTTCCATTTCTGTGAATTGCAAATATGTACTATTTTAAAGTAGTGGTTGCAAAATGCAGTGAAAAGTATTAAAATGGGGCAAATAATATAAACCTGAACTATGGAAAATGGAAATTCTGTATGAGAAATAGTAAGTGAAGAAAATGGAGAAAGCAAAGGTAGAGTTCAAAGCAGTGCAATTTGCAACCTTATTATATGGCATTCACCAATATGGATGCTATTACACCCCCATCCTCTCCCGGCAAGTCATTACCAGCTCTTTTGGACTTATATAAATGGTAACCTGGAAGCAGGAGAGGAAGTGAAAACATTACAGGTCTCTATTGTTAAGCAGAGCGGACAGTAATTAGATTGCACCTTACTGCTTGTTGCTTACATCTTAAGTTTAAAGGGAAAATGGAGTAGATGTTACCTAATGTCATTGACAAAGGCTTTCCCACTAGCTACAAACTGCTACACCAGACATATTGATCAATCTGTGTCGTACCATTTATTTATGCAAAACATCTGATGTTTGTTTCTGCAACCTGGTCTTTCAAAATCACGATAATATGTGAAGCGGCACCAGCTGCTTGGTTTCAAAGTCACAAACTGCTTAGTTATCTTTCTCTCAACAGTTTACACAGCAAATGTGGCATGTTCAGTGTGCAGTGCATGCACACATTCTTCACTTTGAAACGCACCCACTCATTCACATACCTACATCAAAACCTTATGGTCCTGTTTAGTAAAGTGCCATACTGCATGTTACAGGAAAAGAGTTTTCATTCCGTTTCTGTGAATTCCAGCTTCTCAGCATTTTTACAGAAATAATTTTACATTATTTCAAAGACCACATCTCTGAAATATTTTAGAGAAGCTGAAGTATGTGTCTGTAATGTTGGAAGG